TGGGTCAACTTTGCTAGCGAGAGACAGAGAGAGGCGTTGAAAGGCTGCTCCAACGGAACTTATTGTTTCGGAGGAAAACATGAACACAGCGTACAGTCGAGTCTTAACAGCTTACTTACAACTGGGCTACACTGCCCATGAGGCTACATTCTCTAGGGCTATGCCTGTAACACTCTGCTCATATTGCCTTCATAATAAATAATTTGTTGAAAAGTAATTTTTAAAAATATTTCTTCACATCATTATGCGGGCGCAAGTACAGGTAACATGGGCCGCGAGATTGACACACATGCATTAGAGCCTCTTATTGTGTGTTTTGTTTGAGTTTCCACCGGCGTGGAATTACCAGAAATAGAGAGGGCATAGCCTAACAAATGAAACAGGAAAAGACCGCTGTGTAATCCCTTTAATTCAACAAACTATTCTGAATACCATCTTTTTAAACGGTAACTGTAACGGAATACAGTTACTCTTATTTTGTATTTTAAATACGTAACGTCGGTACATGTATTCCGTTACTCCCCAACACTGTCCACTTTGTGATGTTGACTGGCTCTTGCTGGGAGGTTACTTAGCATTGGTGTTGTGTGACACATCTTTTTCCCAGATGTTCTTCCAATATTGCTCAGTTTCAGCTCTGGGTAGGTCTGCTCCTGTGCTATTTTTCTCTTGTAGCTTAGAGCAGCGGTCCCCAACCTTTTTTGCGCCACGGACCGGTTTATGCCCGACAATATTTTCAGGGACCGGCCTTTAAGGTGTCGCGGATAAATACAACAAAATAAAACTAGTACCGGTAATGAAAAAAAGAAGATTTATTCATAACACATGTGAAAAGACCCAGGAAAACCGAGTTAACAATAAAAACGATAACAAAATAACGCTGAAAACCGATAAAAACCCTGAAAACCATACATTTCACACCTGAGCCTCAACTCTCGCGGCCCGGTACCAAACGACTCACAGACCGATACCGGTCCGAGGCCCGGGGTTGGGGACCGCTGGCTTAGAGTACACCCTGGATGGATCTTTGGAGAAAATCCATCCTAGTCACCAGAGCTTTGTTTAACAGTTTCTAGAACCTTGGTTATAGACATCATGTTGTACGCCCTTTCATTTAAGACGTCTGATGATGCAGTTCTATATCTCCCTGTTCCAACATAAGTGCAATTATGTTGGAACAGGGAGATATAGAACTGCATCATCAGACGTTGTAAATGAAAGGGCGTACAACTGGTGTGCAAACCAGTGCACAAATCAAGTAACATAAAGACATGGACAGTCTTGACCTCAACATGATAGAACACCTTCAGTATAAATGAGTGGGGACTGTGAGCCAAGGTGTAAGGTTGCAAAGGTTGGGCCAACATCAAACCCTATGGATTAAGAATAGGATATCCCTCAACTTCATAAAGGCATACGAGGAAATGCTTTTAGCAATATAGTGTAATCTGGCCGTTTTGGAGTTTTAACTGCATCATGTCTTCATCTGTATTAAGATTTTGAACAGTTACTGTGGAGCTGATGTCAAAGCCTCTTCCTAAGCCTTGTGTTCCTCTTTCTTGTTTCTCTCTCAGACTGTAAATTTAATTGTCATAAACGATGTGCGCAAAAAGTGCCAAACAACTGCCTGGGAGAAGTATCAAAAAATGGAGGTACCTACCGACACACAAACACATTTCTTTGTTTTTGTATTATATGAACACAGAGCGTTACTTTAGCCACCGCTACAACATCCATAAACCCCATCATAACTTAAAATTTTATTTTAAAATCAGGCTTGAGACTGAATAAAAATGATGCTTTAATTTCTTTTTCACACACACACACACACACA